CACACACACACACACACACACACACACACACACACACACACACACAAGTGCATACATATAAACAGGCTGAAACATTTTAATTTATGTATGCACATATATGATCCGTACATACATACACACATACCATTACATGTTCGCATATACACTGTATACAGTTTAACCATTTTCATTTACATGTGGGACATGCATGTGCACATAATGCACATATATTATATAATGTGCACATTACATACACATTATATATATACACACACCTAACTGTACATGTTTACATATACACACATGTGTATGTACACACATACACACATGCACACTCACACAGAAATGTTTCAAAAACACTTTATTTCTCTGTGACCATATTATAAGCTGAGGTAACTGTCAGCTCTGGGAAGTGGGTCAGGGACTCTTCATTGTTCCCTCTCCATCTCCCCAGCACCTGGCAGGCACATAGTAGGCGCTTTAAAAAGGCCTGCTGAATTGAATGAAGCTGAAGGGCTTGTGTAACAAGTGTGAAATTCATCTCACCAGCGAGTCAGAGGATTTAGGTTTCAATTTACATTTATATCCAGGTCAACTCAACAAGCATTTTTAAAGTACCTGCTATGTGCTAGACAAAGTGAGAGTGCAAAGAAGCAGCTTTCCTTCTATTGGAGGATTTGTAGCATATTCAAAGACAAATAAATACAAACACACACACACATATATAATATGATTTTTTTGGGGGGGGTGGGGGGAAGCTGGGGTGGGACCCTAATAGCTGGGGAAGTTAAGTGGCAGAGAAGAGGAGACCCGTGTTGTAAAGGGGCTCTTTACCTATGAAATGTCAGGTGCTGATCCCTAAGAAGGACTTGGTCTGCAGCAGATCAAGAATCAGGGTTCCTGACCTCCAGCCTCACCTATGTCGGCGCTGGCCGAGCAGAGCAGGGATCGCCCAGCCCCCTGAATCTGACCCAGAATCCCTTCTACAACAGACGAGGGTGTGGCCTTCTAGCCTTTGCTGAAAGAACATGAAGGAGACCCCATGTCCTCCCTCCCCTTCTGGGAAGTTCTTCCTTATAATAAGAAAGCCAAATCTGTTACTTGTTCAGCCCTGGAGGCCAAGCAGAACGTCGCCCTGCTGCTCTGTCCAGATTGCCCATGGCAGCCCCCTCATCACCCACCTGTCTAACTCCTCGAACAGCTCGCGGATCGTCATGGCAGCCACGATGGTGATGACGTAGGGCAGGCATTCGTGCTGCTGGCTGAGGGCCAGCATCTTGGCGTAACGAGGAGCCACCGGAAAGGTGGCCATGGTTCTCCCCAAGGGACTGATTGGGCAGCTCAGCTTTGCCGCCTGCAGCTGTTTCAACCTGGGGAGAAAAATGCTGCAGGTGACTCCTGGCTTTAGAAGAGACCATCAGGATCACAGATTTAGAGCTGGAAAGGAACTTGGAGACCACGGGAGTCCAACCTCCATATTAGACAGGCAAGGAAACTGAGGCAGAGGTTAAGTGACTTGCCCAGCTAGGAGTGTGTGAGGCAGGATTTGAATTCAGGTCACTCTGATACCAAGCCCAGCCATCTGACCACAGTCATTCTGGATCTTATTCAACTTGTGATGCTTTCTTCGTGTGTGGAATAAGGAAAGCAGACAGCAGGTCAGCTGCTGTTAATGCTAACCTCACCGACCCCTGCCTCCTCCTAGAGTCCCAGCAGACCCAGGCCCGGCATACCGTCCCGTCTGCAAAGGCTCCTGCAAAGCCCCGAGTGCCGTCAACAACTCCTCTGCGGCGACCAGGGCCTCCATGGGAGGAGGGGATGGAAATGGGAAGTTGACAACCTATAAAAAGCATTTGTGGAGGGTGAGAAAAGTGATGAGAATGAATGCAGCAAACAGCCAGAACGTCTGCACTGGGTTCAAGGCTGGCGACCAGGAGCCCCACCTCATACGAGGGGCCATCTGCTGTTCTCGTGGATTGGTCCCCTTTAAATTTGAGACAACGCTAATCACGAACGAGCTTCTTTCTATTATTAAGTCAAACCCCGTCTCTCTATCTTCTCCCTCCGTCCCTGGTCAGCATGAAGCAATAGATCCATGAGCCAACAGGAATTTATTAATCACCTACCACATGACTGGCACCAGGTCAAAAGGCCCGCAGAGAAAACTACAAAGAACGAAACGAATGCCCACTTGCTTTTAAAATTTTTGGAACCCACATGGAAAACTCTGCATCCTTGCCTTGTAAATGTGCCTCTATTAGGCTCAGCCCAGCATTCCAAGTCTCTCCGACCCAGTGCATTTAGCCACCTTCCCCAGCTACATGGATTCTCCCACTGTGAAAAGCACGCATGCCCTCCCTTCCTTTATCCAACAAGCCTCACACACACAGATGCCTGAAGCACGTCTCCTTCAAAACCGACTTCCCACCGTAAGAAGCCTCTTTTCCCTCCAGGAAATCAGCTGGGGAGAGACAGCAGGAAGCTGGATGTGCCCCCTGCACTTTCTCTTCTGTTTTGGGGAATTCTGCCTTCTCTCCCACAACCCTGCTACCCGAGTACACACCCCCCACCTCTCACCTTTTCTATGTTCAAAGCTTTCATCTGAAGGACCAGATCCTCGACGGGTCGCTGGGTGATTTCAGGAGGAGAAAACTTCTCAAAGTCACTGAAAACGGCCGACGAGTAGAGCCTGTGGGGGACAGAGAGACCCTCCAGACCCTGCTGGGACTCAAATGCCTCCTTCGATCGGTCCTAAGAAGCTTCAAGTAATGCTAGTTTCTAAGATTCTGCCCACACGACGGCAGGTGTATGTGAATTATTGCATATAAGCCTCATGAAAGCTTCCTCCCCATCTTACAGATGAGGAAACTGAGGCTTATACAGCCAGTAAGTATTGGTGGGATTCAACGGTCTTTCTGGCTCCAAATCCAGCACTCTAACCACTGGGCCAGGCTGCCAACCTTTTGTTTGACTGTATTTACTTTTTATTTTTTCTTTAGGGAGGAGGGGAAGTTACAGGGGATAGTCAGAAGCATCAATGAAACATTTAAGAAGCATACAAAAGACAGAGGCAGGATTGCTCCAACTCTTGTGCTAAATTTAATATTCGCGGACAAAAACCCAAGCTCCACATAATCAAAACTCAGTTTCACACAGAAACCTTCTTTTCTGCTTTTCTTTGAAGATGGCAATGTTCACGTTTGTCAAAAGCATAATAAAAAGTAATGCAACATAATAGTAAAAAATATTCTCCATGTTGCTGCTCTCCTTTTATATGAATGAAAATTGGCTGTGGGAGTCAGCCCCGGATTCCAATGCCATCTGAGCCTTCATAAAGCCTTAATGCACTATGTCACGGTTAGCTAAGCCAGACAAAGAGTGAAGCGCTGTGAGGACATCCCTGGGGAAAACCTAAAGAGTCTAAATCTAGGGCTGAGAAGACCTTAGAGGACCTCAACTCCAAACTCTTCATTTCACAAATCAGGCACCAAGACGCCCAGGATTTAGGGGACTTGTTCAAGGTCACCCTGCTAGTCAGTGACAGAAGCAGGATTTGAACCCACGTCCTCGGGGCTCTTTCCAAACACTCCAATCCCCTCTCTGCCATCTCCCGCTGTCCTTCTCGGTCCCCTTCCCCCATGGTCCAGTCCCACAGCCTTGCTGCCCAGTCCCTGCCTACCTGTAGCAGTGGCCTGGCTCCGTCCTCCCGGCTCTCCCTGCCCGCTGATCGGCCGATGCCTGTGATACCCACGTTACCCGGAAAGAGGACACACCGGTCACTTTGTCATAAAACCTCTTCTTGACTTTCCCGCAGTCAACGACGTATTTGATGCCAGGGATGGTCAGGGACGTCTCGGCCACATTGGTGGCCACCACACACAGTCTGCATCCCTCCGGGGGAGGTCTGAACACCTGAGTCAGGGAAAAGCAAAGCCCTGTCGGTACGAACGGCTGAGCTAGGCCCAGCATGATCCAAGTGGGAATTGCCTGAGGGCTGCAGCACTGCAGAGCTGAGCATCGAATGCAAAGCCCACACGTTCTAGAAGGAGATAAGGCTCCGAGAACAGATCTTCCCACGATCACACAGGTACTATCCCAGACTACAGAATTTCACAGGCCCTCAGCAGCTGTCTACTCTGACCCACACCCAAAGAGACTCCAAGGACAGCCCAGCCTGGCTCCTTCAAGCTCAGCTAAATGCCCACCTCCTTTCCTAACCCCCCAATGCCCCTCACTTTCCTCTGAGACCTTCTCCAGTCTATCCTGGTTGTAGCTGGTTTGTCCACAGCGGTCTCTCCCAGTAGACGGCGAGCTTCTTGAGGGCAGGGACTGCCTTTTGACTTTTTTGTATGTCAGCACTCAGGCTGTGCCTGGCACAGAGGAAGCATTTAATAAATGCATCCTGAGTGGCTGGCTGCCTGATGACCTCCAACTAGGGAGAACGCACCACCTGGCCAAGCAGCCTGGTCCACTTTGGGGCCGTCCACCCTCCGCTCTGGTTCTGACCTCTTCCTCTCCATAAAGGAAGCAGAAAACCCTCGTAACAAACACGTAATTCCCACACTGGCCGTGCCCACAGAAGATGCTGGCAGGGACCTCCACAGCTTGGCTAGCCCTCCCCTGTCTCCAGAAGCAAATGGATGAGCATGTTTCAGCCTCTAAAAAGAGACGCCATGTCGCAAAGATAAAGCACGTGGCTTATCTTTTGCCAAACACGCCCGGGCTCAAGAAGACAAAGTGAGAGGCTCCTGTCCCTTGGCTTGCTGCAGTCCCAGGAGTGGCCACCGGGAGGAAGTGAGCAGTCCTCAGAGCGGCCAGCCCTGGCCCGTGTGCACCGCCAGGCTTACCTGGGCTTGCTTCTCTGGAGCTAGCAGCGAATACAGCGGCAGGACATGAAGGGGGAGGGAGGCATCTGGCTTCTCATCTGTTACAGAAAACAAACAGGCTGAGGTCAGGCTGGCAGGGAACTCCCAACAGGCCTCAGGGTCAGGCTTCCAGTGACAACACACTGAAGACTACTGTTATTAATATTAACATGAATTGTAATTATTTATTAGCATTAATTATGAATGCTAATGTTAATTACCATTAAGACTAATAACATTATTATGTCAGTTGCCAGTGGAATCGTGCATATGAACATTCTAATGGCCAGCACACACAGAACACCTTAGTTTTGCAAAGTGCTTTTCAAATGATATTGAGGTTAATCCCCACAACAACCCTGTGAGGCAAATGCTTACTATCCCCATTTTACAGATGAGGGAATTGAAGGTAGGAGGAGTTAAGCAGCTTGCTCAGAGTCACATAGTCAGAAAATGTCTGAGTTGGAGCCTGAACCCTGGTGAAAACAATCCACGTGTCCAAAAATGGAAAAGGCCCTAATTCTAATAAGTGGAATGTTCTCTGCTCAGGAACACATCTCTGTCCTTCACAGGTCCATCCACGTGTGCCAGGGAAGCGGCCCATGTCTCTCAAAGCCTCGAGGGCAGGGACCAGGGAGGGACTCTGTTCCAAGCCAGGCTCAGCAATCAATGTGCATCACGACACTGGCATCAAGAGGAACAGAGCTCTGGATGGTTCATCTACACACACACACACACATATATATAGGTTTGCAAAGCACTTTACAAACGTTACCACATTTGATCCTCACTACAATAGTAGGTCTATTATTATCCCCATTTCACAGATGAAGGAAACTGAGGCATGGAGAGGTTAAAAGACTTAGGTGACTGAGCCAGGGCCATGCATCTAATAAATACCTGAGGCGGGATCTGAACTCGGGTTCTCCTGAGTCCAGACCCAGGGGCTCTAGCTACTACAGCACAGTGAAAGAAGACACTGATAGAGCACAAAGGTTTACAAAGTACTTTGTGGACCTTATCTCATACCATCCTCACAATGAGCCTGGGAGGAAGGGGGCATTGCCTCCATTTTACTGATGAGAAAACGGACACTCAGAGAGGCTGTGTCATTTGCCTAAGGTCACGCAGCTAGGATATCTGCCGTGGGATTCAAGCCCAGCGCCCTCCTGAGCAGGAGTCCGGAGCTCTAGCCACCACACCACAGACAGAAATGGGGAGCAGGATAAAAACCAGCTCGCTGTGGAAGCCAGGCGAAGCCCATCCCAGGGGCACAAGAGGATTACTGCCGTGGGCAATTTCAGAGAGAAAACCCTGGCTAGGCCAACCTTCTTCGGCTTCCCCGTCTCCCAGGTCTAGGTCGAGATCGGATCCCACGACATCCTCTTCCTCATCCATTTCTGATTCCCCGTCCTCGTCCCCTTCATCCACGGGCATCGCTGAGTAATTATCCAGATCGATTCTGGGCAGCGCCTAAGGAGAAAAGGGAGAGCGATACCACTTGCTGCAAGGAGGCCTGTCTGCCCGATGAAGCTTATGGGCCCTCCTCAGAATAAAGCTGTGACATAATTGAAGCAAATGGTAACTCTCAGTTAGATCAGGACTTTTTAACCTGGGTCTGTGAACTCCTTTGTAGGTTTGCTTTTTTTTTGTTAAATACATGTTAATATCTGTATTTCAATACAACTGGTCTCCTTCGCCACCAGTCACCTATCAGACAATCACAGGTACTTGGGCCTCCAGCTTGATCCTCTACAGGACCATCCGTCCATGCTGCCCTAGACTCTCAACTTTTTATGCATTTAAAGCTATGATTCTGAGAAGGGGTTCATGGGCTTCCCCAGGTGCTGTCCAGGAGGACCAGGACACACACAGATGAAGAACCTCAACGTTAGAGCTTAGTAAAAATAAAGATGGAATGTTCTTTCCCCATATAAGTTTGTGGAGCCCAGGTTAAGAACCCCAAAGTCTTGAATGTCTGTATTCTCGACCTCAGCACCTGATACCCTGACCAGGCCCAGCTATCTCCTCCGGGTAGAAAAGTCCATGTGGCTGTAAAGGCATGTAAAAAACTAGCCAGACTTCCCATCATCTGCCCAGAAGGAAGAGGCTTTCTCTTTCTAATGCCCTGGTGGCCTGAGCCCCTCCTTAACCACGAGCTATCCACTGAAGGGAAGCCCAGACTGCTTCTTATCTCCAGCACAGGCTTCAGAGGGCAGCTCTCACAGTTGGCAGACCCGAGGTGCCTCTCCACATATTAAGTATTCATGTCTCCTGCATTAGTGCCCAGCACGGTGGCGCCTACTGTTCCACGTTGTCAGGGACACTGGGGCGCTCTTCAGCCAGCATTCCACTCAGGGGAGGTCCCCAGTCACTGACCGCCCCCCTCCCCCCCAGCACTGTGGGATCTGGGAAGTCTGGTCCTTAGTGTGGAGGGTAACCTGCCTTCCCAAGGGCCCTTCTTCCATGCCAGGGATGTTCACTGACCTGTTCTAAAAGGGAACAGGCTCATAAATGCTTTATAAGTTTCTAAAGCATTTCAATCTGATTTTCATTACAAACTGGAAGTCATAACCACATCTGGGAATGTGGCTTCCAGGGCAAATCCAGGCAGGAGATTAGGAAAGGGGCCTGTCCAGGGTTATGGATGGAAGCAGGTGCAGGACACGGAGAGTCTGTGTGTGTGCTCATCCCTACCCCCACCAAGCACAATGTAAGCTCCTTGAAAAAGAGGCCTACTTCAGGCGTGTCTTTGAATTTGGTGCCTAACACATAGCAGGCCCTTTAGAGGATCAGAAATCTGGAGTGGACGCCATCGAGGGCTTCTAGGTCAACCTCCTCTCATTTTACAGATGAGGAAACTGAGGCCCACGAAGGTTAAGTGATTCAAACAAGGTCACAAAGGTATTAAGGGGTGGGAGCTGAACCCAGGACCCTCTATGTGCAGAGTCTGAGCTTCTACTGGACCACGTTTGGTGAAATAAACCGAGTTGAATGAAACTGGAGAAGGGACCCATCCAGAAGGTATAAGCAGCATAGGGAAAGAGCCAGATACGCTACTTTGGCTTCTGTGGGAATCCAAGGCTGAATGCTGGCAAAGGGGCCTGGGGTTACATAAGCAGCCCTGGGGCATGTCTCGGTTAAGTCTAGGCTAATGACAGGCCAAGGCTCCTGCCCAAGGCTCAGCACAAAGTCCCAGGACAGGTCTTGCTTTTTACATTGGAGAAAGGTCTCCCCCCCCCCGAGGCTGCATGGGCAGGGCGAGGGCACAGAGAAGTAATGCCTGGGGAAGGGGCCGCCAGACCACCTTGAGGCGAAAGGTGGGAACTCCAAGGAGGCACAGCCCAGGTCCCACCCTGACCACCTCTAGAGCTGCCAACGTACCGCAGGGCCCTTCTTGCCTCGGGACTTCTTGAATTTTCTCATCTCTTCCACGGAATCCTCCTTTTCTTCTGTTCCTTAAAAAAAAAAAGGTGAACCTGAGCTGGATTCCTTAGCACATTCCTCAATGAAGTAGGTGGCCTTCCATGCCCATCACCTACCCCCTGCCCACCACCCCCCCATCCCTGGTACAAGCTGGGAACAAATGCCTCATGCCCCAGTGTCCACTGCAGCCCACACCGATACCCCAACGGGCACCTGAGGCAGAGCTGCTCTCTCCTCCCATCCCTTAGCTCACTTAATGAGCCCAGGCATCCACGCGGCTGGCGTACCTCTGGCGCTGCCTCTAAGACATGGGAAGGCCATCCGGAGTCTTCGGCAGAGCGAGTGTACCTCGGCCTGTCCCGTCAGGAATACCAAAATACCTCCTGGGGGAAAGAGGACCAGGAGGTGAAGATCTCAAAGTCCTGAGGCCACAAGGCACGAGCTCAGCTGGTGCCGGGCAAGGACGCCAAGCTGGACACTACCTGGAGAGTGCTCTGGCCTTTCCAACGTGCTTTTACCTCTACCATTTCATGGTTGGAGAGAACATTCAGGGATGGGGGGAACATGATGGCTCATGTACCTGAAAGGCGCCACCCCCCCCCGAAGAGGGATTAAATGGATTCTGTTTGGCCAAAGAGGACGTAACTAGGAGCCATGGAGGGAACGGGCACCAATGTAAATCTGAGTCTGACACAGCAGTGCTGCCCCAAAGCAGAGGGCAGAACTCCCCCTCACAAGAGGTCTCTTTTTTCCTTTCTTTTTTTGAGGCAATCCAGGTTAAGTGACTTGCCCAGGGTCACACAGCTAGTAAGTGTCTGAGACTGGATTGAACTCAAGTCCTCCTGACTCCAGGGCCGTGCTCTATCCACTGTGCCACCTCGCTGCCCTCCCCGCCCCGCCCCGAGGTCTTCTAGAAGGGAATTCTTATTCAAGTACGGATTGGTTGAGAAGACCCTTAAGGTTCTGTGAAATCATCTAACAGAGCACATGGGGTGTGCACCACCACCCCCATTCTACAGTGAAGAAAACGGAGGTGCAGGGAAAGGCACTGTGTGCTTGAGGGAACCAAGGGTAAGTGATGTGCCTGTAATTACAGAGCTACCCAGTGACAAAACCAGCTTTCCCGGCCCCTCTCTAGTACCGCAGAAGCTTCAAAAGAAATGAAGACGACCATGCAGGCTGAACCCATGGGCCGGCTGCCTCACCTGGAGGTAACATTCGGTGGATCTTACACACTTTGCGGAAGCACTCGCCGCTGTAGTCATGGAGCGGTGTCCTCTTGTTAAAGTGTACGGTCACGGGGAACTGCCTGGCATCCACCTATCAACAACAACCAGCAGGCATCATGAGGCCACAGACCAACGTGGCCAGGCAGCATCAGGAGGGAGTGAGTCCCCCAACACTGGAGGTCTCCCAGTAGAAGCCGCATGGCCACTTGGCAGGGATCCTCGTACATGGCAGAACAGGCAAGATCTGAAGTCCCCACCCTCTCCAGACAGTAATGTGGGTGGTAACGCATGTTCCTCTGGCCTTTCGATTTACTACCAAGGAAAGGTCACGGGAACACAGATTTATGAGCTGAAAGGACCTTAAAGGTCACCAAAGTAAACTTCCTCATTTTACAGATGAAGAAACTGAGGCCCAGAGAGGTTGGGCCTAAGTGTCTTGCCCAGGCTCAGTCACATCAAATGCCAACAAATCCCAGTTTTTCCTGGATGGTCAGAATGGAACGTTCCTGGGGGCTCTAGCCCGAGGCCCTCCCCGACTTCCTTCCTGTCCAGGACAGGCCCCTCCCGCCCCACACAGCAGGGCCCACCACAAATTCTGGCACAGAGGAGGAGGCTTACCTTCACGACAGGGGGAGGCACCGAGAAGAGCCGGGAGTTCTGGGTGAAGTCCTCCACGCGAAGCGTGGCTGACATGATGAGCAGTTTCAGGGGCTGCTGCTTCTGCAGAGACACAGACCCCCCAGTCACGCCTGGGCTAGCACCGGGACACCAGGCTGAGTGAGTGAGCGGGGCCTGGTCAGGCTTTGGGAAGCTGGTCCTCCAGGTACGAGCCAGCAAATGTTTATGAGTCCATGGAAGGCGAATGAGGGCTGGACCAGTGACTTCACTGACGTGAGGAAGTCTAGACAACGAAACTCTCTGCCAATGAAGGTCGCCATTTCCTCTACAATTTATAGCCTTAGGCAGCACAGACAGGTGAAGTAACTTTCCCAGAGACACAGGGCCAGTATGCACCAGTGGCAAGACTTGAACCCAGGATTCTAGGAAGAGACAACCTAGAGGTTGAGCTTTGTTCCAACTACTGGCCTTTACTTGGCAGCTGTCTCTTGGATAGGCAGCCACTGTCATGCCACCTAGACCAGAGACCACACCCCTTCAGCTCGAGATCTCTGGGGCCCACCATCCTGATTAGGGAGGACCTCATGGAACTCTAATTCACACTTAGCTGGACTGCACTCTCTTCCTTGGCCAGATTCTTTCCAGGCAACAAGCTGCCATGTTCCTCAAGCCTTCCCCTTCCATCCCACTGTCCCATTCTAGAAGCAAAATGGAAGAGGTGCCCCTGTGACTTCCCAAACGGAAAGACCCTTCCCTACCTGGCAGCCACCGTTACCCTCTAGGGGCTGGCTGCACCCATTAGAATGTAAACTCCTTAGGAATACAGAGAAGTGTAGGAGGATGTACTTGAACTGATGCAAAGTGAAGTACCAGGTCAGCAGAACCAGGAAAGCAACAACAGACATGGAAAGAACCATGAGCACAAAACAAACCAGACTAGGAAG